TATATTAAAAGCACAAAAATAGAAAATTGTTTTATTTACCATGAACAGATAATAAGGCATACCACTATAAAAATATCCTGCAAACAAAAAATAAGCATACCATCCCCATCACCCTTATTAAGAGTTATTAGTGAACTTCAGTAAGAAAGAAAAAAAAATCAGTATAGCTGAAGTACTTGAGAGAGTGCCTAAAAATCACTCAACACATAAATATGTCAACCAAGATGCACTACTCTAGAGCTTAAATTTAATGAACTTTCTGCTTAGACACTTATTCACCTGTCTTCACAGTCACAAAATACTTAACTTCTCTAAAGAACAACAGTAAGTTAACAAGGAGCTCTGAGACACTCTACTGTCAGAAAATTCAAAATGGTATTTTTCCTCAGTTTTTAAAAAACCATACTTCCCATCACATTCTGCCAACACACAACAGCAAAATCCAGATTGGCTGTTAACTGCTATGCCGGAACTGCTCTTCTCTATGAGTAAGTTAACAGTTGTTGAGCCCATCACTGAATTCTTGTCATTGTTTTTAACAATTTTAGGTATAAATGTTGAACACCTGTTGGGGGTTGATCTGATGCTTTTATCTTGATGCTAATTATTGGCCCTCAAGATCTGGTACTGCCTGGATACACCTATCTTTGTGTAAACCTCCCTAAGACATTATTCCTGATTGGTTGATTAAAAGACCTAAAACCTGGGCAGGGCAGAATGGAGGTAGGAGAGGCTAAGGTTCCTAGGCTTTGGGGACAGGAGAATCGTGGAAAAAACAGAGAAGATAGACAGGAAGAGAGGAGCAAGAAGGATGCCATGATGGGTTAGGGTGAAAAAGGAACCACATGGGCCAGATGGAAGGACTCCAAGGATGGCGTGAATGAAGAAAACATCAAGATGAAAAATATAAGCAAGTATTTATAAAATTATGGATGAAAGGTAGACCAGATAGGAATGGTTAAGGCGGATGGCACTGGATGGGGGCTGGGAGGTGGATGGGGAGGTTATTGAGATATCATAGGTGAAAATATCTGCCCAGCTCAAGGTAAACAAGGCAATTATAAAATATAACATATCTGTCTTATTAATTATGATAGCAGATTAAATAATATCATAATAATCATAGGACAAATAATAAATATTATTTAGCCCAACACCAATTTAATTTTCAACAAATATCTGAGAGTATTTTGTCTAACTAGAAAGTTCTATTGTTCAGTTTTTTCCCTCATTTTAAACACATTGCAATGAGCCCAAAGATAAATAAGAGCCTAACACAAATGATTAGGAGATGTGGTAATGCATGCCTATAATCCCAACATGTAGGTGGCTGAGGCAAGAGGACTGCAAGCTCCAAGACAGGAGGGTTACACAGTAAGTCTGAGGCCAGCCTGCGCTATACAGCAAGATTTTAACCCACAGGTGCACACACAGATAAACACATAGACAGATAAACATACATAAAAACTACTAGACATTTTCCAAAAACAAAAAGGACTATTTTTCTTTCATGAGCATGCTTAACAATTACATTAATTTATTCAATACTATTTTATACATTAAACCTGTTCAATAGCCGGGTGTGGTAGCGCACACCTGTAATCCCAGCACTTGGTAAGGCAGAGGCAAGCAGATCTCTGTGAATTCAAGGCCAGCTTGGTCTACAGAGTGAGTTCCAAGACACCCAAGGCTACACAGAAAAACCCTGTCTCAAAAGAGAGAGAGAGGGGGAGAGAGAGAGAGAGAGAGAGAGAGAGAGAGAGAGAAACCTTTTGAATGAAATAAAAGGTGCTGTCAACTCAAAAACCGACCAGATGAAAGAGGCTCCAATAGACTTTCCCAAGTTGGAAGGAATATAGATGCTCCTATCATGTATTTCAAAAGAAATGCTTGCTCCTTCCTTTCTTGATATTTGCATATCCACCAATCCAGAATAGCTATAGAACAATTTTTTCAGGACTCATAAATTCTGACCTTTACTGAAAATCCTCTTACCCTAAAACCTGGAAATCTATGACTTTTCCTTCATCAAAGTTCTTATAAAAACATTTTTTAAAAGCATAAACAAAAGGAAGGAAACACACAGAAGTGCAAAGGCAATTGAGACATTCATTTAAAAAAATTAGTGCATGCTGCCAAGATCAGGCATGGTATGAGAAAGATAGTAACTATGTACTTCCACTTTCCAACCCTCCTGTCTATGCTTGTAAAATTAAGAGGAAGAGAAACTAAGAGGAGTGAATAAAGAAAAAAAGACTAGCAAACAACAGCTTACTCACAAACTTCACAAATGAACCACTAAATTTAGCCATGCAAGTCACCACATGCCCAGTATGCAGGAGAAAACAAAACGTTCCTCTGCAAAAATATTTTTGTTGCCTTTTATTCTAGTACCTCTGCTAGACTGTCTAAGAATGTATGTTAAGAAGCACCCAGCTACTACCAAGCATCAGCATGAATGGGCACTCCAACACAAGGTTTGGGATAATAAGCACTGCATACAGCCAGAAGAGAAATAATGCAGTGCGACAAGTGCTCTGCCTGCCTGGCAACTGTGAACTACACACAAGAAATCGCCAATTTTCAAAGAGATTTTGTTTTGATTTTTTTTTTCATCAAATCCTCTTCAAAACTCACAATTTGAACATAACACTGTTATTTCCAACGCCCGGAAAATATTCTCTCTTTTATAAAATTTTTAAAATGTTAGAAAACCCAGAGTAAAAAGGCTGTTCTAATGCATAAGTATAATGATATAACTAGAGAATAAATCTTACTACAGAAGACTACATGAGATAAACATCTAGAGATTATGATGTTTTCTCTAACCCTCTGTTAGGAACCATGTTTACTTTCTAGAAAAATTAAAAAACACTGCTGAAGTATTTTTCCCTTTAATAGTTTGTAATTTAATAGCTTGAATCTCGTGCTGTTAGAGTACACTTTGATATCTTAAAATATAAAACCAACTTGTTCTAATTTCCCAGTTTTTATACTAAAAATTCAAAAAGAGAACTGAGTGCTCAGCTTAGTGGGGAAGAGCTTGTGTAGTGTGTGTAAAACTCTAAAGTTCGATTCAGAGCATTTAAAAAAACAAATAAATAAAAGGTCTGAAACTAGCATTTTAAATTTCCTAGAGTATAAACATCAATGAAAATAAACACAATCTTATTGTCAACTATGGGGTGTTGGTTTGGAGTAAAAGCAGCCTTTCAAGAGTTTACCTGTGGTCATCATACTATGTTTGGTGTTAAGTAAGCAGCATCCTGGGGGTGGAGCCCAGGGCTTCACACAATAGGCAAGTATTCTGTCACTGAGCTACATCCCCTGCTGTCAACTTTTAAAGTTGTGGACTAAAACAGTCTTTGTGGAATCAAATACCTGTTAATTCAGAGTAGAAAAATAGAGCCTAATTTTATGAAGTGGCAACTGCCTGGGAACAACTGATGCCATTTGAGAACTAGAAAAATACTCACCTATAAGGTGTCTTGGATTGGTGGATGTGCAAGGTGTAGTAGAAAACAGAAAAACTGTTATAGAGAAAAAAAGATAGTAGGCCAAATTACTGAACCAACCGTTTCAAAATACCTCTGACATGACCAGCACTCTTGCACAAGTAAAATGAACATGCTCCAGTGTCTGTCCACACTGTTCATTTCCTTTTGGCCTCCTTCCTGATCCTGATGTTATAGCCTTTTAACCAGGTTTTCTTTTCCTTAAGGATTTTTTAAAATCATAGATTATTTATGCTAAATATCAAAACTTAGCCTACTAGAGCTGGAAGTACCCATGCAAGTGAGCACTAATTATATAAACTGCACTTAATCTTGATAGGAGTTCTAATTATCTAAATAGCTAACCTGAGAAAACAGAACTTTAGCCACTGAATTAAAATGTTTTGGGGCTGAAAGCAGTGACCAGTGGCCGAGCGCTCGCCTCTTATGTGTCAGACCCTTGGCTTGATTCCCCAGCACCACATGCACACAAAATCAATGTATGACAATTTTGCTGTTTTCTTTCTTCACTTTGGCAACTCTGGGGATCAGACCCAGAGTCTTGCACAAATTGCTCAGTGTTCTACCAATGAGCTATATATATCTATCCCTATGCATGTTTTTAGTTAAGAATTTACAGCCTCATTACAAGCAATTTTATTTAAAAATTGAAATTCAGATGTAAAAAAAAAATCAAGCACAAGTGTTAATAAAGCAAAAAACTCAAAGCCAGTTGTTCTCTGACTTATCTAAAAGGATCTATTACAGGAAAGAGTCAAATAGCTTTATATCAAAAAACTTCTACAATTTGTCAGGTAATATTATAAATTAAATTATAAAACACAGTTAAAATTAAAATTTTGGGAGCAGAGTTAATTTTTTTGCAAAAAGTGAATGTGTTGAATTTTCTAGTATCTTGGCATCATAAACCATTACATGGTATTACTGGTGATTTGTTCTTTGTTTGTTTTTCAAGACAGGGTTTCTCTGTGTAGCCGTGGCTGTCCTGGACTAGCTCTGTAGACCAGGATGGCCTCAAATTCACAGAGATCTGCCTGCCTCTGCCTCCCTGAGTGCTGGGATTACGGGTGTGTGCCATCACACCCATCTTGGTGATTTAGTTTATTAATATCATTTTACTGCATTTAAACTCTACTCACCTAAAGTTACTGAGCATCTTTTGTGAAAACAAGTTACTATATGACCTCTGAAGATCAAGAATTCAACAGAAAAAGGCACCAAACTTTTCTACGTAAGTGCAAAACCAGGCAGTGATGAAACACACCTATACTGGTTTCTGAACTTTGGCAATACTACAAAAAAAAAAAAAAAAAACAAAAAAACACACCTCTGTGCAAGTTAAACTTTCTGATATTTTCATTCCTTAAAGACATCAGGAATTTAATAACTGTTACACACTTTAAAGCAAGATAATTTAATTTGCTTACAAACTCAAATGCCACAGAAAATCGAGACACCCATGTGAACAAACACAAAGCAACCAGAGTGTAGCTCAGCAGCACATACATTAAAACTGGAACAATACAGAAGATGAGCATGGTCCCTGAACAAGAATGACATGCAAATTCGTGAAGGGCTCCATACTGAAGGTGAGGCATAAAGTTGTGTGGGTAGGAAAGTAAGAAGGCTATAGGAGAACCTGGAGAAGGGGAAAGAACATGATCAAAATATATTGTCTGAGAAAAAAATTTAAATAAGCTAAAAGGGGGGGGGACTACACTGAGGTAAATAGTAATCCTTTAATATTAGCGAGTCAAAAGGGGCTTTCCCTGAGAACTTCCAGATATATTTTTTTTCTGGGAATGGAAAAATACTAAAACTTTCAATAAACAAAATATTTATTTCACCATTTCAAATTATTCATAATACTATACAGGATCTAAACTCCAAAGCTTTTAATAAACCACATGCAAGGGCTGGAGAGATGGCTCAGTGTTTGAGAGCCATCCTGAGGATCTGAGTTTGATTTTCAGCACCCACATCAGGTAGCTTACAACTGCCTGAAACCCCAGGTCTTTCCACACAGTAGAAAGAAACATCTTCCAAAAGTTGTTCTCTGACCTCCACATACATACACAGTACATGAGTGTGCACATGCACACATACAAGTAAGTAAATAAATAAATGTGAAAAATCACATATACTAGAGAAACACATGCTAACAGTAACTGGCCACAGACTGACCCTTTATGTTACACAGTTAGAGTTGATTCTCAGGACAGAATCCTAGTCCTAAGGAGAGCAGGCAGAAAGAAAAGAAGGGAATACAGAAAACAGAAGAACTTCTTAAATGTTGTGGTTTTGTATCTGAAAAACACCCACTATCCTAGGAATCTACTTAGAACCAGATTTGCTGACTTTTATAAAAATTCACTTTTATTAACTAACAATCTCTTTTTGGAAAATCTGTTTAAAAAACTACTACATTTATAAATGGTGATTAGCTGGTTGGCAGCAGTGTTCAGCAGAGTCTTGGTCTCAGCTGTTCCACTGCCCAGCCCCAACCAAGCTGATGCTTATTCAAGCATGAGCTCTTCTTTTAAGAAGCTCTTCAGCTGGGTTGGAGAGATGGCTCAATGGTTAAGAGCACCGTCTTCTCTCTCTAAAGGACCCAGGTTCAATTCCCAGCACCCATATGGCAGCCCCAAGTCCAAGGGACCTGGCACTTTTATACTAATGAACATAAATTAAAATTAAAGACACTCTTTCTCAAAGTATCCACCAAATGGTAAAATAAGGGTTTTTATTACTTTTCTCTTATTAATTGATACCTCCCTTCCTCCACTTTCCCCCTAAACATGACCAACGAAAGAAGGCAAAAAATGAAAGAGAACAAAGAATATGAAATTAGAACTTATATTTAGTTAGCCAAGTATGACTTTTCTTAAAAAGGCCCAGAATCCCAATACTATGAAGCTACAGCTCACTATAAGGCATCCTGAGTGTCTGAGAGCCAGAGACAGGCCTTTGTGAGTTCCAGGCCAGCCTGTTCTACAAAGTAAGTCCAGAACAGCCAAAGCTACACAGAGAAACCCTCTCTCAAAAAACAAAAAACAAACAAACAAACAAAACACAGAAAGAAAACATACAGACATTAAAGTTTAATCAATCCTACATAGATTTCTGCCCCTAAATCAAAGCAACCATTTATGAGCAAATCACAAACATGCACACGTACCTACACCTCTTACTTTCCCATATCAACCTAAGTAAATCAACTTCATCTCTACTCGTGGCCTCATAGTATACCATAAGCTATACATGACTTGTTTTGCCAGCCCTTTATTAAAGGATTTACAGTTTGTTTTATGAATTATTTTGTTTGTCAGTATTCACAGAGCTGAAGATGTGGCTCAGCAGTTAACAGCACTGGCTGCCCTTCCAAAGGACCTGGGCTCAGTTCCCAGCACCCACATGATGGCTCACAATTGTAACTCCAGTTACAAGAGAGCCAACACTGTCACACAGACATACAATGCAGGCAAACACCAATGCACATGAAATAAAAATCTCAGTATGCACAAAGCTATGATTAGTATCCATACCCATCTGACAATGAATTCTTATAGTTAACAAGACTTCAGGGGACAAAGTTCCTAAATAGGTAATTCTAGCTCAAAGGTATATATGTATGTATGTATAAATTTTTTATCAAATTTGAAATATATATATATATATATATATATATATATATATATATATATATATATATATAACTAAGTTCAAATATCCAACATCTCCAGCATTCTTTTTTATGTAAATTAACCCATTTATTGCACACTAGGCAAGTCTCAAACAGTAGCTCTTCTACTGGTCTTTCAGTTTCTTGAGTCTTCTGATGGCGAACTTCACTGTGATGGCAGAAGTGGGGTTGTAGGTCCAAACCCCACCAGTCACTGTTTTCATGCAGGATCCACAGTGCCAGATGGCAACGGCTCAGCTCTTCATCTTGGTCGTGCCACAGAAGGAGCAAGTGTACTTGGTATGCTGGCTGATTTCAATCTTCTTCACCATCTTCCGGAGGTAGGCACCATAATGGTCCGTATTTCACGATGATCCCGACCTTCTTGGTGCTTTTAGCTGTGTTGCTGGAACTGAAGCCCAAGGCCGAAGGAGAGCCAGCATTTTCATAATTAAGCTGTTTTACTGACTTTAAACAAATCTTGTGATTTTCATTTATATGTAAAGGCAAAAATCTTTTTTTAATTGGTTGGGTTTTTTTTTTTTTCCCTCCTTATAAATACAAAGTATATTTGCTGCTTGCTTTCTTTCTTTTTACTTTTTGGCAAAGACTGGAGGAGAGTAAGACAGGTACTAACAATATAATCTGGGCTTATCTTGAATTCTTGATCCAACTGCCTTAGCTTTCAGAATGCTGAAAAATTAGCTTGCTATGTTTTGCAAATTTTTATGTTAAACTTTTATTCTTTCTCTTTCCTGATTTAAATACTATTTATATTTAAAAATTTGTTCTTGATATGTATAGCAAATATATTTTTTACCAGACACTGTCTATTAATTTTATTTGAAAAATACATTTGCTATGTGAAACTTAAATTTTTCTGTAGTCAAGTACCTTATTTGGATTCTACTTTCTGTACACTGTTTAACTACTTTCAAATGATAATAAGTATATGGATCTTGTAAATTTTCCTAGTGTTCTTGCAGTTCCAAAGCTGATCTAGAATGTCTTTGCATTTACATATACAAACAAATAAGAAACGGAATTGTTTTGTTTTTCTATTGTCCCTGTTAAGGACAGCAAGTTTTCCAAGATCATTTACTAAATAACCCATTACTTCCATATTATTGATATGAAATTTATTTGTAGTGGTCACCATCACCATTATATACCATTATCAGAAGGGTCAGAATATGGAATATTTTTTTAATCCTATTACTTTGTCTATTCCTATGCAGGTACAAATTTCTTATTATTGACATTCTAGTATACCCATAAAAATCAGGCAAAGCTCCTATATTACATTTTTTTTTCTCTAGAATTTACCTTGTGATTCTCATGTTTAACATCTACAAGAAACAGAAATCTTGTTAGGTTGCTCCCTCTAAATTATAGTGGGATAATAAATGGGATTACACTTGAAATTTATGAATAATTTAGAAAACAACCCACAGCATTCTCATTTTGGTCTTAGCAGCAATGAAAATGAAAACCATGATTACAGCTAACATGTTGAGAGCACTGATATCAAGCCTATTTGATGTATTTATTTTAATATAACTTCATGTTAAGTATCATTATCTTCATTTCATATGTAAAGAAATCAAGGTTCAGTTGGGCAAAGCAATGTGTTCTAGGTCATAACAATGAAACTGTGTAGATAAGGTTCTATCCATTTAATCTGACCTAGGTATATATCTGAATTGAAATGTAATAAAATAAGTTAAAACAAGTTTTATTTGCTGTTTTTATTCAACTGTCCCTTTCACTTGATTTTCCCCCCTTAGGCCTTGAATACTAATTCATTCAGTTAATTCCTAGGGAAATTGAGTTGCTTTTTAAAATAATTCTTTCTATCCATTGTATTTATAACTTACTCTGATAATATAAAAGAAAGCTAACAATTTTAGACTATTACATTTACAAGTGCCTCCCTTATAGAATCCTCTTGTCCTGAATTATTTTTAGTCGGTGCTATAGGTATTCCAAAAACAATGCTATCACAATCAATGTTTGTAACCTTAATGTGTACCTTCCAATATTTAATTCCCTCAATGTCTGAATCAATCTTAATATCCTTTTTACTAGCAGGCTCCATTAGCGATGTTTTCTTTAGGACTCCGCCTAAGCAAGGCTGATTGTTGGCACTCTTTGGGTTTACTTGAAAGCCTGTGGCTGCTGATTTTGCCGGTCTCTCAGCTTTCCTAATTTCCAATGCTTAGAACAGTTTAGCATCAGAATAACAGTATTCCTTAAAAGTAAAATAATTCACCTGTGAAACTGTCTAGGTTGAGTGCTTTTATGACACTTCTTCAATTTCTTCTGCCACAGTTAGTGCTGTTTAGATTCTTTCTTTTCTGGAGTCAATTTTGGTAATTTATACTTTCCTGGTACATCATTTGGATTTACTTGAAATGACACTGAATAATTCTTTTACTTGTATAAACGTGCAAAATCTTCTCATCCAGAAGGAAAAGTATGGGCAAACATAAAAGTAAATGTTATTGGAAAAAATTCACAGCTAGGATGTGTCAAACTGTGAGCAAAGTAATAGTATACAGTTTTATATTAGGACCACATGTTTTAGAAAAAAAAAAATCCTTTAAACAAAGCTTTATAAGAAGTACTGTTGATGACCAGAGAACTATGAGTAAAAGACAAATTAAGCCACTACCACTATGAACTCTTTCACAAACATGTATTTCCTGCTAGAAAAGTCCCATCTGGGAATGGCTTTCAGTTAAGTAACTACAGCACAGTTATCAAGTCATTTATAAGTGACACCCCACCAGTTATACAAGCCACGTGTGCAAAACATCCAAGTACAAAGTGACATTCATCATATTTATTGGAAGCACGAATATTCAAATATTTAATAAGCACCTCCTGATGAGCATGCTATCAGA